GCCTGGCTTGACGGAGAAACCAGGAGAACAGCTGAGCATATTTACGACAGTGCACTTTTACTTTCGCCCTCTGGGGGGAGCCTCGCTGGAAAATCAACACCGGTTGCATAGTGTACCTTTAAGTTTTTCTTCTAAGATAAGGTTGTCTTATTTTTGCATTCTTTCTTTTGGAAAGAATGCAATTTGTAAAAACTCAATCTGAAAAAAAAGTTTATTTTGAGAAAAACTATTTTAAAAAAAATTAAGTAGGATACATACATCTGAAAATATATATATAAAAAAACACTCTTAAACGCTTGTTTTATTTCTGGGTTTCTATTTTTTTTTTATTTCAATGTACAAAATGTGTTTTTTCTTGCAACAATAATGGATCAAAATTCACTCCATACTAAAGTTAAAAGAATAAGGGTTACATAAAAGGGAAGCACAGAGTTGGAACTGGCAGCCGGGATTAACAGACATTAACACAGATGATGTTTTATGGAGATGCTGTGAGGTGAACACTCACTGTTCGGGGGTCTGGGGGGGTCTACTGGAGATGCAGCTGCGACACTCATCTGCAGCACTGGAGACCTGACCCTTCTCCCCGGACACACCCGCCTCAGACCTGTGCGAGTACACACACATACACTGACTCTGGCCATTTGAATAAGACACCAAATGAGTTAATTTGATGTGGTGAAATGAAGTGTAGAGTGAGCCGGGGTTAAAATATATGGCGTGAATTTTGTTCCATTTTTGTTGCAAGTAAAGAACACATTTTGTAAAAGGAAATTTGAAAAAAACAAAAACATTTTGTGAATGGAAATGGAAAAAAAAACTGCAATCCAGAAACTAATATTTGAAAAAAAAAAATTCCAAAAGGAAAAACTAACTTTCCGCTTTTCTCAAATTAAATATATATATTTTCAAATCTTTCCCACAACTTTTTCATATTTTTATTTTTTTTTTTATTTTTTTTTATTTTACTAATTGCAGTGTTTTCGATTTGGGTTTACTAGATCACATTTTTTTCACTTATGGGGTGGGCTTTCCCCTGGAGTGTGGAGTGAAGACACATTTCTATTGGTCCGTACGGACATGTTCTGTGCTGAAAAGAAAGCAATTTGTAACACTCAATCTGCAAAAACAAATAAAAAAATATAATTTAGAAATATACAATCTGTGAAGAAATGGAAGAAATAAAGTTTGGGAAACAAAAGATACAAATGTGACAAATTAAACTTTCGAAACATTCCTTTAAAAAGAACATTCTGAAAGTTTCATTTCTGGATTAATTTTTTTTTTTTACTTAGAAAACCTTGTTTGCAACAATATTGGAATAAAATTCACTCCATAAACTGCTTCGGCAAATAAAAAGGTTTAGCAAATCCTAAAATAAATTGAGGCATCTTCTACTACTATCTGTTGAACGTTTATAACTTAGACAAAAGTCGCCAAAACAACTCTGCTTGCATGCGAGGTTCACAAGCAGAGCTGTCGTCGTGAATATCATCGCATAGACCTCACACTGCAGATATATTGGAATCTGTGCTTAAATGTCAGCCAAACCCATTTACACAGGAACAGATAAAACCTTTCAATAAAACACACGTCCTCCGCCACATATCTGACTCAATAACCATTTGATACAACTATTTTCATTCATTTCAGACGTAACTATTCACTTATTTGTATTATATTAAACTTCACTTACAATATTTACCACTGTTTGGCGCCATTTACCTTTTACCTCTGAGCACAGAACAGCCGATTTGCTTGGACTCGCAATGAATCATGGGATACCCAAGACTACATAGGACCTTCAAAATGGGCAAAATGAATGATGCATTTGTCGGCTGCATAACGAGAAGTCTTCCGATCTGAACAGGCCTCGCTATGACATAATTGGCCGACGAATCTGGACTTCAGAGGAAGCAGCCGCTCAATTCAAACCCAGCAAACGTCTCCTTGAACCCCAGTTGGTCTCAGCAGATGGCCATTCACGCTCAGCCTGGTTCTACCAGAGGTTACTTCCTGTTAAAAAGGATTTTTTTCTCCACTATCGCTACATGCACGCTTGGTGTAAGGGATTGCCAAAGAGACAATGAGTTGATGCAATCAGTTTTCCTTAGACAGTAAATCTTAACCAATCTGACTGCTACTAGCAATTAATTGAACTGAATAACACTTTTCTAATTGCAACTTTTCTCAGTGCGAGTCTCTCCAGGTAGAAATTATTTTAAACATGAGAACACCAGAATGATCACAAAGACAAGACGTTGACATGAAGAAACGTTACTAAGTAGTGATGAAAGACATTTACTGTGATTGGATAAAAAGAGGTCTGTTTACATTTACGGAGAGGATTTAGCATTCATCAGAAAAAAACATGATGGTAATTATGGAATGAATTGTGTTCCATTATTGTTACAAGTGAAGAAGATTTTGAAAAAAAAAAAAAAAAAAAAAAAAAAAAAAAAACAATCCAGAAATGCAACTTTGAGAAATTTCAGTATAAAAAAATGGTTTTAAGAGTAGCTTTGCTGCTTTTCAGATTCTTTTCACTTTCCGGGGGCTTGCTTTCCTCTGGAGTAAGTAGTGAAGACTCAATTCTATTGGTTAGCATGGATGTTAGCAACATTTGTTTGGGGCTTGACGTGATGGAAATGCAATCTGTAGAATGCAGATTAAAAATAAAATAATCCATAAAATTAAATTTAAGAGACATTTGAAACAAAAGTTGAAAAAATAAAATATCAAACATTTTTTGAAAAAAATCTGTTTTGATAAAATAAAGCTAGAGAGTACTCTAAAAACCTTTTTTTGATTATTACATTTTAAAAGTCTCATTTCTGGGTTATAGTTTTTTCTCAAATTTTCATTTGGCCCACGTTTGTTGCTTGCAACAATATTGTGTGGCAAGGTGCGTAACCGCCAGGCAGGATTTGATCCCCAAACTCCCAAGTGAAATTGATGCGCACTGACCGGTCAGCCAAAAGGTTATCCCCCTGGCCAATTGGCATTGTCAGTCATATTGGCAAATGGAACAAAATTCACTACATAGCCACTCAAAAATAATTATAAGCCAATGCTTGTCCACTACCTCCTTGGTCCGAACTGTTTGCCATCATCCTTTTCATCAGGTTTCTTGGTGGCGGTGACCTTCTCGGCACTGTCTAGGAGTGCACTCAGCGCCACCCGCCGGAAAACATTTCCATGGGCCTCTTTTATAAACTGAACCAGCTGGCGGATATCGCAGTACAAACCCTGTGAAGGGAAAAAAAGAGCTATTGATGAATGAAACGGTGCCCAGATTGAAAGAGCTCCTGTGTCACTGAATGTGTGCATTGATGACTGAAAGACATCTTCTGCCTCCATTTATCTGATTACTACAGTGTGTTGAATTCATATTAATGTGTAATTAAAGACATTTTAATTAGTGGAAAAAATTGCACTAAACCAAAACTTTAGCGAACCCCATGCAGTACCACTGTGGACCCCCTGTTGAAGACCTCTGCTCTAGACTTTATCAAAGCACCAAATTCAGCCTGAGTGAGAGGTGTTTTTAGTTTTAGATTAAATTTTACCTTAAAAAGTGGTTGGGGTCTGACTTCATTTAGGGGTGATTGCATACGGGGTATGCAATGAAAGCCAATTCTAACCAAACATGTTTTGAACATCACAAAGTCATCCAATAATCAAACTTTGATGCTTGCCAACATTTAAATCAGAAGCACGTAGAAAGAGAGAGTGCAAGACGCCCTTGATGAGTTTTTTTTTTTAGCTAAAAAGTAAACCTCATAACATCCAATCAGTCGGATTATGATCCTACTTTGAAACATTCTTAGTTTTTCCAAGCAGCAGATCCCCGTATACAGGTAACAAGGGTGGCAGCTACGACTAAACCACCCAGGCACTTGGGGATTTCTCGCTGCCAATCATAGCGGCTGAAAGTAAAACACTTTCACTTTGCTTGTTGGCTACTTAAAAATACAGTCTCCTGGGTTTCTATGAAAAACTTGTAGAGTGTAACCATCATCTTCCAGGCAGCTCCTGGATCAGCTTCTACAATCGGTTGACATGCCTTGTTGAGCTGCAACCCATCAGCTCCTGCTGTGCCAAAAACACTTCAAAAAGTGGTAGTTACTTGAAACGTCCTGGAGAAACTTATGACGACAAACATCTACTTTGCTTTGCTTTGAGATCTGTTGTCATACCTTGAGCTTGTAAAAGTGCAAGACTAATAATTACCATCAGCAAATGTAAACAGGAAAACAGCTAAATAAATCTATCAGTCCGAGGTATCTGATCTTCTCAGAGAGGACTGGGTCTTCTATTTAGAGGAATTTTTACTGGATAATGTTGGTGTGTTGGCTAACCTTTGTATATTAGCAAATGATAGATGATTTGCTAACTGGTTAGCTAAAGCCGGGAATACACTGTGCGATTTTTTTCAATCATTGCACGCAGCTACAGCTCACACTGTACGACGAAACCGCAGAGTTTCACTAGAGTGAAATGCGCTGCCTTGGCAATTTGTGCAATTTTGTCCTACAAAGAAAAGGCGACAATGTATTCAAAGACATGGCTGAGCAAACATGTCTGTCAGTTTTACAGAAACAATTCCATTTCACCCGCATCCCGGCCATGCTTCTGTGTTTACATCTGAGAGGAAGAAGAACAAGGAGAATCCTTGTTTACACATGGAGCGATTTGGCCACAACGGTTGGGAGAAAATCAAACATGTTTGATTCCTGATCAGGAGGTGGTCGTTAGAGGCTGCTCGCCCCTCGTTACCCCCTGTACACTACACGACGCGTGATTAGGCTGAAAATAGGGCGGATCTGAAAATTCTTGCACAAAAAAAATGTGTAAGCCCGGCTTAATGTGGAAGGCTAATATTAGCCACTTTCAGTAGCCATCTTAGCAACTAAGGACACACTGATGACTAAGATGTTTGGATTTTGGATAGAGAAGACAGATGGTTGGAAAGAGGGGTGGAGGAAGCCATCTCTTGTTAAAAGTTGTGAGAAGAGAACAGAGGAGGAGGGTTGCTGTTTCAGCTTCCTAGCATCGACAACTCTGTCCCGGAACTCATTCTGAAGAGGTTACACAAGCAACTCATCACGATTCAAATGGGAAAACACCAAACCCACACAAAAACAGTATTCAACAACCAAACAGAATGGCAGGTGGGTCTTCGAAACAACAGTGCTCCAACTACTGATTGCTCTAGTTCGAGCTGACAGAATTGACTCAGAAATGTCGCTGATGTCCTCAGAAAAACTGAGCGAAAGGTAGTAAAGTTTTGTTGCCTCCGATTGAAGTTCTTTTTGTGGTTGCCATGACCTGGATGAATGGGAATTTACAGAGGCACGTTGTTTTTGTTCATGATGTGCGTTTGAGGCGGGATTGGTTCAAAGGATTTGAGGTTTAATAATACGACACAACCCATAACTGGGACCGCAGAAAAGCGAAGATCTAACCCTTCATCCCTTAAAAATCTCTATATCTGTTCACAAGTATTCACAAGTCGAATATATATGAGAACCCAAATGCCTAGAGCAGATGGAGCGATGGTTTCACGCCTCACTCACCAGGTTCTCGGGGCTGTGCAGCTCATGTGTAGTCGAGGCGCAGCGGGTGATAAGGGACTTAAACATGCAGCCCACCACCACTGCCTCCATGTTCTGCGCCAGCGACTTGTTGTCCCCTGTGGCGAAGTTGTTACCAAAGCCCGCCTTGTCTGGAAGCAGCAGGAAGGCAGGAAAAGACCATGGATGATTACAGGAGGTAGTTTAGTCATTGGGATGAGAGGGTAAAGGGGACAGTACTGACCAGCTTGAGCATTGAGAGCCCATACAACAGAAAAGAGCCAGGGGGAGCGGGGCAAAGGAAAGGGGTTCATAAAGCATATGAGGAAGAAGCAAACTTAAAAAGATTTTTGGGGAGAAAATAGGGAATACATGCAAGTGACTGATGCCTGCTTCAAAAACAGAGTAAGTCTGCGTCCATTTAGCTGAAGCCAGATTCAACCACACAGGTGTCAATTTAGGAGTTGCAGGCGAGTTTGTCACTTTCGAACAGAGTGAGGGGTGCAGCGATGAAAGCGGTGTCTAGGGAAGGATCTGATTGGGTGAGTATAGCCATCGTATTGCTTATGTTATTGACTGGTATTAATCATCAATCGTGTGTATCTACCGATGTTTCTTTTTTTCGCCCTCCTGGACCTCTCACCTGCACTGCCGTACTCTGCAAGAGAAAAGAGGCGGGGCACAAGTTGATTGACATCAGGCCAGCACAAATACGTAAGGTGGTCATGGCACCCCACCTCCGCCAGGAAGTGACCCCAAGATGCACACAGTCGAAAATAAAAACACAACAACAACAAGAACTGAAGAAGGTGCCCTGTTCACTTTCATCAATAAAACACTCATCGCTTCAGTAACTTGCCAATTGCAAAGTATTTTGTACAAAAATGATGGACGGTTGCAGCAAAAGTACAAAATATTTGAATGTCTCAAAGCAAAACTGGACAACTGGGTCTCAATTCTCTGTAGCATGGTATTGTCATCAAAATTAAGACTATTGCACACCTCAGAGGCTATATCCTTTCTGATGCCAGCTGCTGATCTGATTAATGAAAGGCTGGCACCGCCAAAAGGACAAACATGTGCTGCCAGGTTTGGAAAATAAGAAGTTGGAGCTGGTGACTGAGAAGGAGAGAATTCTTCTGGGGACTAGGATGCTGGTCAGTCACTGAACTTCCTGCTGTTCATTAGAACAGATATATTGGGGTCTATGCAAGGCTAACTCCAGCCTTTCCAGCGCTAACACCAGTATGTCCAAGACAAACGCCAGTCTATCCAGTGCTAACACCAGTCTATCCAGTGCTAATACCAGTCTTTTCAATGCCAACTCCAGCCTTTTCCAGTGCTAACACCAGTCTATCCAAGGCTAACGCCAGCCTTTCCAGTGCTAACGCCAGTCTATCCAGGGCTAATGCCAGCCTATCCAGTGCTAACACCAGTCTATCCAAGTCAAACGCCAGCTTTTCCAGTGCTAACACCAGTCTTTTCAAGTCAAACGTCAGCCTTTCCAGTTCTAACACCAGACTATCTAAGTCAAACGCCAGCCTATCCAGCACTAATGCCAGCCTATCCAGCACTAACACCAGTCTATCCAAGGCTAAATCCAGCCTTTCCAGTGCTAGCACCAGTCTATCAAGGGCTAACGTCAGCCTTTCCATTGCTAACACCATTCTATCCAATGCTGACTCCAGCCATTCTAGTGCTAACACCAGTCTATCCAAGTCAAATGCCAGCCTTTCAAGTGCTAACATCAGTCTATCCAAGGCTAACGGCAGCCTATCAGTGCCAACACCAGTCTATCCAAGGCTTACGCCAGCCTATCAGTGCTAACACCAGCCCTTCCATTGCTAACACCAGTCTCTCCAAGGCTACCGCCAGTGCTAAAACCAGTCTTTTCGGGGCAAACGCCACCCTAACAAAGGCTAAAGCCAGCTTATCTGTGCTAATGGACAGAATAGGAATGGGCAATCCATCGGGTGGCCAGCATAGGCCTTTCCAAAGGTGAATATTTTTTTACTTAGTTACAGGCTCAGCTTGGTTACCGATGCCAGCCTGTCATTAATTAGATCAGTAGTTTGCATCAGATTTGACAACGCCTACGCTAAGGAAGCAGAGAGCACTGGGTGGCTAATTGTCTCAATTTTTATATCACAGTTTTAGTGCCAAAATTAAGACTTTGGCTATAGACTATGCCATGCTTTGGCATCCACAATTATATACACAAAGCTAAAGTTATGAGAAATTATAGATAAAAGTGGTGGAATAGCGCTTAGTTACCTATGCCGGCCTATCACTGATCAACTCAGTAGCTGGCATTGTGTGTGCAATAGTCTTAAAGTTGCTACCATTATCACATCATAAATGTTGGCGTAAATACCACACCATAGAGTAAAACCATGATTTCGGCACTAATGCAATGGAAGAAGCTGCGTATTGGCAAGTGTACGGAATGGGATGAGTAAGTGAAAAAGTCAGGATTCAACTTATTCGGGTTGATGAAGAAAAAAAAATAGATGCATGTAAGCAGGAGGAAAACATCAAAAACGACAAGCAAAGACAAGTGGAAGGAGGACAGGGAAAATACAAATATATTCACACAGGTAGGGCTGGGATGTAAAGTCAAGGTGCAGGGTGAGACAGCAGGGTTGAAATCTAGCTTTTTAAAATTATATATTTAACTTTTGATGACACATTCCTTTACAGAGACTTTCATCGTGAGCCATAGGAACATTAGTTGTTAGGTAATCAGCTCGATTATTGTTACAAGTGAAAAAAAACATTTTGAAAAGGGAAATTTGGAAAAATATGTAAATGAAGGACATTTTTTAAACTTCTTATATAGCCTATTTAATTTTTTCAAATAAAAATTTTCTGAACTTAGCTTTTTTATATTGCACAAACGCACAGATTTAATTGACAACAATTTAGTTTTTTTTTGTGTTTTTATGACAGCATCCCAAATGTCAATTTTTGCTACACAAACATTTAACACCAATTTTGGTTGATTCGATTTATAAAGTTTTACTATCAGGCTTGCAATTGCAATATTTTTGCTTACTGTATGCTTACTTTTTCAGTCCCTTACTAGGGTTCCCTCTTCCTGACTATTAGTAGAGTCCCTTATGGTTTAAAAAAACTTTTAGGATTTTCAACATCTAATCATTTGTATCTATTGTCTCAACTTAACTGATCGACAAGCCGACATCCTTAAATTTTCCAATCTTCTCAATTTCAATGTCAGCATTGATTTTTTTTTATTTAACCAAACCTATTTTTAATAGACATCCCAAACTGCAGGTTTTTACCAATTTTATTATTCTGAATAGCATGGTGAATTTTTTTATCTCACTCATAACAACCTTCTTGTCTAAAACCAGGGTTTTTATGTGACTATAACCTTTAAATGTTCCTTCCTGTGTTATTTTTTAAACTGTTAAACCTTACATGTAGCTTTTACATTAGCAAATTTCTCTTTAAGTTGTCCTTATATACACACCGACAACTTATGCATCTAAACTTGTAACATATTTAAATGTTTGAATCTTAAAATGCCAAAATTCAAGTAAAAACTTTGTAATTATTATAAAGGTTTCTTTAAGAAATGAATGTAGATTTGAATGGCTGTAGGCAGGAAGGATCTCCTGTAGAGGTCTGTCTTACAGCACTTCTGGAGATGCCTCTGATTGAGTACACTGTTCTACATGTATTCTAAGGTCTGGGCCTGTTTGCTAATGTTAACATTTTCTTCAGCAGGGGAACTATTTTTGGAATAAATAAAACCATACTGTCTAAAAAGCATTGCGACGTTTTCTTTCCTATTTATTCCCTTACAATTGTTCAACACGTAAAAATAGCTTTCTCTCATTTAAAAGTTTTTAGTAAATAGAGGAAATTGACTATGAGAGAGTGATTTGTGTCGTATTCTCTGAGCATGTGCAGTCTATTTGATGACTTTCTTGTCATCTTATGACTTTATTTTGTAATAGTACGACTTAACTCTTGAAATGTTCCACTTTAATTATTTACTGCTACAATTTTACCCTCATAGACTTAAATTTACAGACACATTTACGACTAATTTCGTTGACATCAATTTTTTAATTTTTCTCACCTTAGCACTATAACCTCTGAATAAGAAAGTGGCGAATGGTTTCAGACATTAAAAACACTTAGCATTTTGCTAATGGACGTTTGCTACATTAAACATTGTTTATGCTGGTCTTTACTGATGTTTGTGGCCTTTGAGACAGTAAACATACTAATAGTTCCAAACTTTACACATATAACCAAATGATAATAATCATGTTTTTAATGGCATAGTGTTTTTTGTTACTAACATTTTCTTATATGAGATTTAACATCAAATGTTTAAGAATGCAATTTTATATTCTGCTGATAATGTTTTCAATGAATTCATTGTCATAAAAACTTAATATGAGGAAGATATTACTTTTCATTTTATAAAAATTGGGTTTGCGTTTATATTAGGATATGTGTGGGCTTAGACCTGAAAAGTCTCACACTTAACTATCTGTACTTTACTTGTTTTGTCAAGCAAAAAGCACGGATTGCTAGCATTAGCTCATATTTGCGTTATCTAATTTTTAATAATAGTCTGTCTTTTATTAAACATGTTTCTTCCAAACAGGTTAAAAACGTTATATGCTGTGATGTTTACTGCAGTGAACTTTGTTTATTTCTACTTTTTTATTAACATGGTGTCACAGTTTTGGTTCTATTTTCTTTGCTCCTGTTTCTCTTTTTCTAATGTTTTCTTTGCTCCTTGCTTTCTATTTTTTGTGGTTAAATTCTTATTTTGTCGTGTTTTCTGGTTATTTTCAGTTTCCAGGTTTTTATTTGTTGCCCTCTGCTGCCCTCTTGTGTTCTCCTTTTTCCCTAGCTCCTTTCCTGTTCTGCTCTGTTCACACCTGCTCCCAATCTGCTCTTTGTTTCAGTCTCCCTTAAATACACTCTCTGTTCAGTTCCTCAGTGCTAGTTCCTCGTCTAACTTCCTCCATCTCTGTCTCTCTGAGTCTTCCTCCACGTGATAGTTTCCCCCCCCGATGTCTCCATGGTTTCTGGTTTGTTTGACTTTCATTTCATGTTTTGATTTTTGGATTTTGGATTCCTGCCTCAGTTGTTTGCTTACTCTACATTAAATTATCAAGAAATTTACCTCTGCCTCCCTGCCTCTGCATTTGGGTCCTCTAACCACAATCAAATCCTGACACATGGTTTCTTTTGTCAAAGCTAACTTCGAGAACTCTGTCTCAAACTCATTTTAATGCCATATGAATATGCCTGCATTTTCATACCTTGTCAAAATACAAGGTATCTATTTATTAATCAGCTCTTGGGAAGCTGGAGATGAATTGGCACTAACGGGTTAGCAAACTAAATTTGATGGTGAGCATGCTAACATGCCTGCTAAAGTTGCATGTTAACATGTGAGCATGTTATATCCCTAACGCTCCATCCTACAAAATACGCTTTTTTAAACGGCAATAATTTTTACTTTTCAATTTGTTCCAGTTACTGTATGTGGTTTGAATGTAAATTTTTTCTCTTTGGCTGGGGGAATGGGGGCTTGCGTCCCACTTGGATACGCCACATACTCACTGTCAGTAATGGGCTCCATGCAGAAGCCCAGCAGTGCGTGCAGGAAGTCCACAATGTTATTGAGAGAGTCTTTGTTGACATACTCGCGCATCGTTTGGCGAAACTGCACCTTGTCCAGCTTATAAAGATTAGTCAAGCAGTTTTGGGCCTAAAACGAAATATATTTAGAGAATAATAGAAAAGGGTATTTTTTGGATATGTAGAATAATATTCAAAACAAAATAGACAGAATAATGTTTCAGAAGCAAATGTTTTTCGCGACCAAGTGTCCAACCTGCATCCTGAGCCGATCTCCTGATAGCCCTCGATGTCCCTCCCCGCATCCGTAAGCACAGCCCAGAGACTTGACTATCTTAATCAGCATGGTTAAAGCCAGGCGGTGGGTGCTAAAAGCAGAACCCTCTTCCTCCTTTTAAAGAATCGAAAGACGAAAACCGAGCTTTAGATATCACAGCTGACATTAAACTCAAGAAATTCACTCCGAAACCCACCTTTTTGTCATTATCCTTGTTATTTTTCACATCATCCTTGCTCCCCTGCCCGCTCCCTCCTCCACTCCCCCCCCCCCCGCCTCCATCTCCTCCCCCGCCGGCTCCTGAAATCGCTCCCCCACCCTGAGCACCCCCTCCAAGGCTTTGCCCGCTTGAGTCTTTGGCACGAGCCTCCTGGTTTTCCTTGTTATCAGGCTTGGACAGCCTCTTCCCCATCCCGGGGACTACCCCCAGCTGCAGCAGGCAGTCAATGATGTTAAGTGCCACGTCGCAGATCCTGGAGCTGATGTCGTGACTGAGTACGGCATAAACAGCCCGCAGGACGGCCTAATAATAAAAATGAAAAAAAAAAATGGTAGATTGCATTTAAACACCTGGTCAGGTAAGATGCCGGGGTAGTTTTGGTTAGTATACTCACCGTTAGGTCCAACATGCCATTTTTCAGCACAAAGTTATTGGTTCCCTCTATGTTCTCGCCCTCTTCCAGACAGGAGTAGTTGATACAGGAGTCGGTGAGGCTCCGGGGGAGGTTGGTGCAGGCCAGTGGTTCCACGGGGATCTCGGGCGCAGTGACCGGGTTGCACAGTTTCTTCATATGCTCGGTAAAGAAGTCGGCGTAGCCCACGTTGAAGGACGCAACGGTTGTGTTGAACGCTGCCATGGTGATGGTCGAGATCTGGGAACGGACTTGAGGGAAACAGTGGGATAAGCAATGTTTTGACTCAAAAACATGGGTGGATATTAAATAAAAGTGAGATTGCCAAACATTTGTGCAAAAATAAGGTTTTCCCATAATGAATTTATAATTTTTTATTTCTCCATTCAATTAGGCTTCTGTTCTTGTTTTATTTTCAAATGATTTTTTCTTTATTTACAGTATTTAACCCTTTTCAGAAGGCAAGGCTCTTTAACGTTAGCACTTTAAAGTTTACATTTTAACGTTGATGTGTGTATGCCTCAGAGCCTGAAATGTCAGTAAAAACAGCCAACATCTCAGAAGGACAACGATTAAAGTTTTCAAAACTGTCTTTTTGATGTAATTTTTAATCTATGAAAACAACTAATGTCTTAGTTTTTTCTCATTTATAGAAATTCTTAAAGTTTTTTAAAATAATTTGTCCATTAGACCTTAAGTTATGTTGTTTTTCAGTAACATGCTCTTATTAAAATAAATTGTACTTTTCCCCTTGATTTCAAGACTTAATATTTTTCTATCTCAAAATTTGGCAACATTTTTTTTTTTTTATTCCCGGAAGGTAAAGTACAGCTTTTAGGTGGTAATTATTGTTTATATATATTTAAATGTTAACATATTATTTTTTAGCCACAAACTAACTGAATGTTGCCCATGCCAAAACATTTTTATTAGTGTTATTTTTATATTTCAGCTATCAATTATCTATTTGTAGGTCATTCATTTTCTTAATTAATTTATACATTTAAAAATTATACCACACATTTTTCATCAACCTCTTGTTTAAATAATTGATCTTAGAGTACACCCAAGAAATAATATATATAAAAAAGCAATAAATGTATAAGTATATAAAAAGGAATAACAGATAATGACTCACCAGGCACTTAGAACATTAGATCACTTTTAATTTATATTCATCTAATTTACATGGCTGACAGAAAAATAGAAGTAAATGATTAAAATGTTCACAAATGAAAGAAAAACTACAAAAAAAGATTGCTTAGTCTTGGAATTTGAAGTCAGACTGAAACAAGACCTTGAATTGTTTTATTTCTTTTTTTCTTTTTTTTTAAAGCATATAAAAGGCCTTAAACTTTTTTTAAATTGTGTTTTGATGCAAATAACAAACAAACAATGTTGAAAAAATTAATGTTACAATTTTGGATCACAGAAAACTTGGTCTCCAATTAATTGCATTTTTTTATTTTGCTCTTTTTAATATCAAAGATAGAGTTTTATTCTACAAATATGTGCCATTTTGCTACCTTTAAATCAGCTATATTATTAGTGCGAAAATTAACTTCCGGTCATAATAACATCTATTTATTTCAGTGGCATTTTAGGGCTTCTGTAGCCTCCTACTTAATACAATAAGAAAAAGGCAGAAATAAAATCAGCATTTCTTTTTAGTAAAAGATTAAATTACTATGGGGAATTTTCCTTTGAAAATCTGTTAGAGTTCTTAATGCTGCTTTTCATTTATTTGAGTTAAATGCCAGCCATGTTTTTTGTGTGAATTTGCACTGCGTAAATAATAGACCTCTTACATGCTGCTGCAGCAGTCGTCAGCGGAGCCCCATATTTCTACTCCACTTTAAAAGTAACTGCTTACTGGTCAATAAATATAATTCTTAGACTTTTTCTATATTTTTAACCTAGAAAAAAATTGATAGAACTTCTGCAAAAAGCAGCAAGATCTAATAGATGTGAAACTTTAACCCCCCCTTTCCAAACATCTCTTAGCTGATGGCCTCACCTTCCTTCACCGTGTTGTCGCTGTGGCTGTTGGAGTGGTCGGGCATGTCTCGGAGTAGTGAGTGGTGGGAGTGGGAGTGTTTGGCGCTCAGGCTGTCGGCGTCTGCAGCTGTGTCCGTGCTGCCCCTGCGTGTGAATTTGCCTGCAAAGCAATGCCCACACGAGAGCGTTCAAACACTCGTTTTTTTGTTTTCAGAAAAACCTGGACAGCAGATGCTGCTTGAAGTAGATGAGCTGGAAAATTTGCATCTGTGACCTGAAAGGTTTCTCAGCAGCTCAGAAAGAGAACTTTTCCTTTTTGGCATTATTATTGTAGAAATAAAATGGGTACAATTACGTTAATTATAATGATATAAAAAAAAAAAGGCTATTTATTTAACTTGCTGACCGACGTTAAACTAGAATGCAACACTAATGGCATTGTTGACATACAAAAAATGTCTACAGCACACATTTTAGACCTTATTTAGGGTCTAACAATGTTTTATATGGCTCAACAACCTGAGACTCATGAATACAAGGCCTTAAAAAAGTCAGTTACCCTCTCCAGGGAAAACAAAAGGTTCTTGAGCCTTTAGGAAATTTGAAATCACAGGTTGTCGGAGCTTATTAGCTGAACCTTCTGACTCACCAAGCCAAAGGGCAAAAGCATTATCACCTACCCATGATGGTAGCCTGCCAGCCACCGCGGTCCAAAGCCCGCCGGTCGTCCCCCAGCCCCGAGAAGCTTCCGAAGGAGAAGGTGCTCCGCGTGGGAGAGACGTCCAAATGGTCGTCATGAAGCAGGAACGGCACACCCATCCGCCGCTGGCGCTTCTTCCCAGTGTGATGGAAGGGGATGGAACCTTTTCTCTCCCTGTCCTCCTTTCGGTTCTTGAACTACGCAGAGAAATGGCGACGTCAGTTTGTTTGGTCCTCATTTCCTCTTAGCAAAAGGAGAATCCCTCTTTGGGTACAAACCCACCGTCTGACCCTCACCTTCTTGAAGATGTTCATACCCAGGTCAGAAGACAAGTCTGGCACGGCCTGTCGACGCAAGTTGGTGAGTGATACTTTCGCAAAGGTCTCCGTGCTCAAAGATTTGCCTTCTTCGTTGCACTTCAGACTCATGTCCTGTGAAACAGTAAAAAACATTATTGGAAAATCTGTAAAAAAACTTATTGGAAGAAAATACATCAGAAATAATATAACTTGAAAAAAAAATGTTCTTAGCACTCCATAATAAAACACCTGTGTGGGGAACTTGAGCTGGTGGAGAGTCATTTCTTAGGAGAGTGGTTAACAGCTAATCAAAAATAATAAAGAGTACCACCTATTAATACAAGTTAATATAAGCAAATATTGTCTCTTTTGTTTGTTTTTTGCTACATCATCTCATATTTACTGAGTTCCCTCTGGTCTTTGAATTCCTTAGTGGGAGTCGGCATATGTTAGTTTCGGGCGATTTTATAAACAAACTCTAGAAATGAGACCCCAGATTGGCGACTAAAAAGCAGAAGCTATGTTGTAGCAGCATCCCTGTACAATGATAGTGCCACCAACACATTTTACATAGGAGTTACGGCGCTTATGAGGAAACTTTTGTACTTCTCCGTCTTACAAAAGGTCAAAATGACCAAAGTCAGAAGATGTCGCTGTTTGTTTGCGGTCAAACTGTGCTGATTAAGATCCTCTAAAGTGGACCTGCTTGCCACTACCTGAGTCTTGTGAGTGTTGACCAGCGATGGAGTTGCGGCCACCATGGAGCTGCTCCGTGGCCGTGGCAGAGGGATGACCAGGGGTTCCGGGGTACGTTCGGGTCTCTCCTCCATGATCTGCTTTAACCGCTGCAGGTAGTACATGAGGGCCCAATGCACGCCCTCCTCCGTCCAGTGGGGCTGAAGCAGGCAACGCAGCACAGCAACGTCAAAGTAGGTGGCGTACCGCGCTCGATGGGCCAGAGACGCCGGCAAACCAGCAGGAGCCGAAGTCCTTGAGATCAAAAAGATTAAACCTTTAGCATAAATTAGCCCTTCGTTAGGATTTGAACAGATTTTGAGGTCAAAACTGAAGTCCTCAGCAGAATGCTTGTTGAGACGATTGTTATTTTCGGCCATCAACACTTTACTTTAATAAGCTCAAATGAAACTAGCTCTAATTTAAGGGAAAAAACAAACAAAAAAAGTGATGAAAAGGTTAAGAGGCAAAAAAAGTTTCAGATTGGAGACAATTTCATAAAGCGAGAATAATCGCCCTTCTGGGCTTGACAGTTGTTGGAAGAAGTTTTTGCTAAGCATCTTGATCAGACGTCCCTAGTTGGTTGGAGGAGACATAGAGGATATGAAGCTATGCCTGTCTCCATGTCCAGAATGAATAAAAAACAAAAGAAACAAGAGAAAATGAGAGTTTTCCTTCAACTCTTCAAATTAAACCAAATTTCTTCATCTATCTTAACAGAATCACCACCCCAGTCCATGGCAAGGCGACGGCTCTGAATAACACACTCTCCGTCCACTCATTTGAAGACTTGATGCTAATATCTCATATCAGTTTTCCTTGTGAATAATCCTTCTCCATATTTCTCTATAGCAAAGGAATAAAACCATAAAGAAATGGTTATGCAATTGCTCTAAGATTAACAGCCATCATTGCTGACTTTTCTAAGATGGTTGTCATTTCGCCCTGATGTTGTGTTTACACACACCTGCTAATTCCGTCTTAAACAAAGCCATTTGGAAGGGTATAATAAGGGTTTATATGGGAAAGGTTTAATTTTCCTTATTTTATTCTATCTTATCATATTATATTTTGGTTTGCTCTATTGTAAAAAGTTGCACTACAAGAAACGAATTTCCCACAAGGGATTAAAAAAGTAATGATTCTGATTTTGCATCTTGTTTCTTTCTAACTTCAATTCCCAATTTTAAAACATAATAATGGGCTTGTTACGGTCATTGCTGATTTGTTAACTAACACTGTCTTATCTCCCACATGCATGGGGTAATTATGCATCGTTGCAACTCGCCGATTTATTCATTTCTTGCTTTGTCTCCCAACAGATGAAGCTTTCCATTTAGGTATTGTGGTAAGAAGCTACTGTCTCTCATAATCAGGGTCATTATAAATGCCAAGCTGTACAGTAGATGTAATAAAGATGTAATAAAGTATATTCAAATTATATTTCATACCGTGCATTTGCTCACTTATTGTAATCATAATTAGAGTTTAAATTATCAGTTTTATTTCAAACAAACCCCACCGGCTCCTGTCTGTCTTGCTGTGAAGCTGGCAAGTAGAAATCTTGGTGGCCACAATGCAAGAAGTCTTGGTGGCCACAATGCAATGCGCTGCTCTCAGTAGTGAAGGGAAAGTAGAGACGACAGTTTAGTTTTACCAGCTTAGCAACTTTGTTGCCATATTATGGGACTTCTCAGATGCGTTGAGCAACTTTTTGGATCTTTTCGTGTTTCAAAAAAGCAGCTAGAGCCAAATATAGTGCATTTTTTCTCTGTTTTTGGAAAGTTCAGCGACTTCACCTGAATTCCTTAAAGCCAAGCATACAATTGTTTTTGAGACAATTTTCCAGTCATGCGACAAGTTTGGGGGATCGGGACGAACAAATTGTGTGTCTTGCAGTATTCAAGGGGGTCAAAGAAGGTGATGTCATGACGAGCTCCTTATCAGAAATCTTAGGTCGCAAGAAAATCAAACCTTTGATATTTTGGTCTTGGCTAATGAAAGAATCGCATGTTGAATCGGTCATACTGAGACTGAGAACTCTTTCCTCTGAGATTTTGAGATTACGCATGGGCAAAAAAAAAAAAAGAAGTGTCTTATGTTTTTCTAGCTACCTCTTCTTATTGCACGATTCTTTAATGTACTGTACGTTAGAATAGATATCAGATTGCATACACGCATTGGTTTATACAGAGTGAGGACATACAAACTGTGAATTTTATAACTCTGCGATCGATTTGCACAATCTGACTTTGGGCTGTAAGCAACGATTGAAAATATCAGAAATGTATCCCAGGCTTAAGGGCTGTTAATATCTTCCTATATCTCTCAGTGCTGTGTCACAGCCACAGAAAAAGCTGCTCTTGCTCTCTCCCTACTTCCATACATGTTGTCTTAAAAGACACAAAAAGAGTTACTATGAGTCTCTCCCTACTTTCCCAAACGTTAACTCGAAGACACAGAAAGGGATTCTATGAATCTCTATGAAGAGGGGAGTGGTGGCCTAGTGGATAGGGCCTACAGCTTGGAATCCTGAGGTTCTGAGTTCGAGCCCCAGATTGCCACTCTGTGTCTCCGAGTAAGACCCTTAACCCGTGACTGTGCCCAACGAAGGCAGCCCATATGCAACATTGTGTGTGCAAAGTTGCAGATGATTTCGCCATTGATTACAAAGCAGGATATATTCCTAATGTTAATGTAGTTTTTAATCAAGTCCCTTTTTTCTGAAACGGTTACAGTAAAAAAATGACCAGCTTGAATCCCTAATTCACCTCGTAATGCGTGGCGAATAAATGAACTACCGAAGTTTGCCCACCACCGAAAAAAAAAGACATCCTAGAGGAAGCCCTGAATATTGCAAACTTTTTCCCATTTCAAAACACAATAAGGCATCCAGACAGACTGCTGCTACTGTCGTTACTACCTGGCATTTGGTTCTGATGCTTTCTCATATAGATTAATTAATAATGGGTCGTCCTATGATTGATTTTTGACTTCCATTTTGAGGATAAAGTCAGAAGCCCATGAAGGAATTCCTTTCTACCCTGGCGCTGTGTTAATGCACACCTTCCTGCTTTAAAGGTGGTCATACTGATCATAACAAGCTGATGAGGTGAGATAAAGTAAGTGATATACTTTTAAAACCAGAGAAAAGATTGACACCATACAGACAAACTCAATCCCTCTGACAGTGCTGCATAGACTATATACTGCGTAAATATAAATCATAGCGCCCATTACTGCCCTGACCGAGAATCTCATTTTGGGATATGGGGTTATATTTGGAAAGATATTTAATGGGACAACGTATGACGCAACTCGGTGTCCGTGGTGTTTAGACCCACTTTTGACAGTCTGACAACTCTGCTTCGTCTTGCCTCTTTTGAATTTTCGCATCAATTATATGTAAAAAAAAAAAAAAAAAGAAAAGCATCTCCTTCCTGTTTGATGTAAAGACTTGTTAAGTTTTAACCGGAGTAGCTCCAGAACTGTTATACAAAAAGCTATTGACCGCTTTACCGGCATTTCTTTGCATATAACAATACTACCCTACTCCTGTTGAACAGGCCTTGTTGTCCACTCCTGCCACAATGCCTCATTAATAATACATCAAAGAAGGACGGAGAACAAGGGCAAAGTCCCCCTTCAGCATCGCAGGGAGATAGGGAGCCTTGGCATACGTGAGTTCACTATAAATAAGCTGGAATGAAGGTCAGCGGCTGCTGCAGAGCTCTACTGTGGAGAAACGTATTGAAAACGGCGAGAAGGGGAGCGAGAGATGCAGGGATGCTGGTATAATGCCGGCTCCTTTTTGCTGCTCCTCTGCTGTTGTGTTAGGTTGCCACGGAAACCGAGTGACGACAGTCCCCAGCACACTAATCGTTAAGAGACGGAGGAGAGATGCAGCGGCGGTGAGATGGCGAGGGGGTTGCCGTGGAAACTGCCTCCACATCGGGAGTGCTCGGAGAGAGAGGCGCGGACCGTGGCGCCGCGGGACAGGGCCGGAAGGAACGCATTAATCACCCCTCTAAAGCTA